TTATAGCTTGGCTCTCAGAGGGCTTCTACCTTGGCTAAATTGCACTTATTGCTCGAGGGATATAAAATTGAGTGAGGGATGCACAGCTGCATGCAAATAGAAAAAAATTCAATAAATAATGCATTTTTTAAATTAAGGTGTTCAAATTTTTTTTCGAATTTTGAACAGTGGAATCGTGTTGCTCGTCTCAAAATCTATAATACTAGTATTATAAAAAATACATAAATTTATTGTTGTGGACTAAATACCGTCGATTTTGCATGTTTGGGGAAATTTCCCTTATTTCAAAAACCCACATTTTTTCCAAGTGTGTAGTATTGATTTCATATATCTAAATAATAAGTTCCAGTATTCTGCCACAAATACTTCCAGAGATATGCAGTATGAAAAATTCCGTTTGAATGGGAAGTGCCACGCCCCTTTGTCTAATCGAGATAAAGGCTATCCTTTTAAGTTGGGCTAAATGAAAACAGTGTGCGTAATTTCATTAAGATCGGTTGAGTAATTAAAGCGTGAAAGCGTAACAAACAAACCATTCGCATTTATATTGGTACAAATTATCCAGTACTGACCATTAATATGATTTTTGGAGGTGAGCATTTTTTACACAGACCCAAAATATTACCCAGCGCTTATGAATTTGGTTGCCTTTGATTGGTCGTGCTCAACGAAAAACAAAAAATTATGCACTGATCATGCGTTCTCTCAAGAAGATTTTTCAGCAATGATAAGTAGCACACTATTCTTTAACCTAGGATTATTCTTCTGAAGAATTGAAGAAGTATATTTTATACCCATAAATATCAAATAAGTACCGCTCAACGAGACTCCCACAAGAAAATTCACGTTTTTTATAAAATACGCCAAATTCAGTAACAGTTGTGAGAAGCCTTTTTTATCGCACTTGGTAAATGGCACATTTGATTAATACCTGTCAAGTTATTCCTCAGAACCTACAAATAAACGTCTGAAAACCCCCGAGCTTTAGGTCTGACCGCTCAAGAAGTTATACCTCAATAAAAAGTAGATTTTGTGCGACTTGCACTAGAAATTTCCTGATTTTCTCGATTTTGGCAAGTAAATTAGTCATTAAACCGTTAATTTTGTTTTGAATACCGATTTATTGATATTCGCACATATAAATAGTATTAATGAAGGTATAGAAACCGCACTTGGCAGCGCAGCTGCTTTGTAGCGGCAACAATATGCCAGTACGCAAAATGCCGCCATCTCAAAAGATTCCCCATATGTATGTATGTCCATAATTTGGTTATTTTAATAAATATGCGTAAGTTCGAGTTTGCAACCAGCGTTGCCGTTTTGCTTAAATTTAAGCAAAATTGCTTAAGGTTTTCCTGCCTGTTAAAATGTTAAAATTTTCTTCGTTTCGAAATCGCTTCTCATAAAAACCATTTGCCGTTCGGAGGCTACCTAGAACTTTAGGTCCCTTCATTTGCGTGACAAGATCAACACGCACATTTTGGATAACATGATGCCTAACTCGTTTTTTGCATGCATTCAAAAAACTAGCGAAAGGGCAGATAACTATTATAGGAGTATGTGTTGAAAGCCTGAAAGAATGTGTAATAGTTTTCAAATTTAGCAACTGTTCGGCCCGATTTCAGATGGCCTACTTAAGTAGAGATTGTTGATTAATTTTCACTATTCCTTTTCAGATCATACATTTAGTCTACACTTAAATGGCCAATTTTGCTATTTAAATATGAGATATGCAACCCTGTGTTTATACCAAACAACCCAGATTGATTGATAGGTTGTTTAATCAATCCCACCAAATCCCACCTAAAACAATCAGCTGTTCAGCAGAAAATGTAAACAAACATGCAAATGCAACAACAATTTCAAGGAATAAGCAGCAGTGCTGCCAATTGTTTGGCATATTTAAACAAAGTTGAAAGGAAAGCTAAATGGCATTTAAACAACAATCCACAATTAAACTTAAGTGCCTATACATCCTACCTACAGCCTAACATCCTTACTTTTGACGACAAAACTCAGCCTTAGAGAGCCTTTACTTACTGACTTGCTTACTTTTTATTTCTATAACCATTTTACCAAGCTCAGGAAGAAACAAGCAGTAACTCCAGGCATTTCTCTTTTTATTAAGATCCGATAAATAAGTTGCTTAATTTTAACGGGATTTGTTAAACTTTTTGAAAGTTTTTGTTAAACTTTATTGCGGGTGTGGCAACACTGGTTGCAACCTTAACTGTGCGTGTCATATGCATTATTTCGATTTTCAACTGTGCATGTGTGCATTGCTTCGTTTTGCTTGTATGCATTACTTCGCTTTTGAATCGAAACTGTGCATGTATGTATTACTTCGGTCTTTGTCATATAGGGGTTTCCATGAAAATGTAAACCGAGCAAGCAAATGAATTCAAACGGCTTTATAACTTTAAATTTCGTATTCAGATGGCGGAAAAAGGTTTTGAAAACGCGAAACAGTGGAAATAACTGAAAAAAATAATTAAAAATTGAATTTAGTATGTGTTACTAGTAAAAATATTGTATGGGGGAAAAATCTGTCGCGTACGTTATGTCGCGCACGTTATTATGTTTTTTTTTTTAATAAAAACTAACCAGAGATAATTTCTATAAAAAAATGGAAGGATTGTAAAGGTACATTATTTAGCTTAGTTTAGGA